CAGTATACTCAGGGCGATGTAAAATAATGATAAAAAAAGAACTGATCAGAATTTGATTTTTTCTTCATTAACATTAATGTGGTGGAGAAATACTATTTTTCTGCCGATCTCTGATGAGACAACACAAGGCCGAAAAAATATTAAACGTAATCTATTCTGCCATGAATTTGATAATGAAACGTCATTTTCCGGTTTCACCTTAAGTGTTTCTTGGGCCGCACTTGTCAGCCTCATTATATTCCTCTCATGTGGGCGCAAACAAATTATGAGTCTTAAAATTTCAAGAAACTTTCCTAATTTGCGAATTCCCTTTACAGCATTGTTTCATTATGTGAGGAGATCTGCACATCTACTTTAATTTTCTGAGCCTCCGCCGTCCATCAAGATAATTTTTTACCAGTAATTCTTTCTATCTTAAAAATCTGTTGTTTCATTTAATCATTTTTAAATCCCAAGACTGAAGCAAGGATTGACAATATGGTGAACTGGATGAAGACATCTATCAGTGAAACCCAGGAGTCTCTTGAGGAATATAGAGCTGTTCAACTGAACGACACTAATCGCATTTTTGTAAACGATTACAAGAATGCGAGGCAAAATGCTCTCACTGTCACTCGATATAGTCTCCACCAACGTTCAGTAAGTTACGCAAAATAGATTACATACATTTATAACCTAAACTATAAATAAAAAATAATCAATTTTCCATTTGTAATCCCAAGGAGGATTTCAAGGCAGCGAAAAAGGAAGGTAAAGATGTGAACATGTGTCTTGAGCCGTTCAACTCAGCCAACGAAAATGCTCTGAAGAAGCATGTTTCCAAGATTGATGTGTGCTTCGATAAATATTTGCCGAATTTAACAGCCGTGGAGGGTCAAGTTGTCGATTTACAACAGGTAAAGTATTACTTTAGAATGAAAGGAAGTGATCATCTCTCACTGAGAGGCAAGGAAATGATTGTGATTTTGATTCTCCACAGGAAGGAGAGAAACTAGAACAAAAACTCGAAAATATCCTCGAGATATGTGAGACCAAGAGAGTTAGGTGGGCATGTCTTGCTGTGCGCTTGCCCGCACTGAAAGTGTCCGTTATTGCGTGGAGAGCACGAGCTGGAAGAGTGCAAAGGGCGGAGCATCGGGTAAGCTCTTCAGCTAAGAGAAAAATTCCCAGATGCATTAACTCATCGTTAAGTGACTTCAAACGGAAAGTGAATGTCGTTAATATGAATGCGAAACGGTGTATCGCTGATCTGCCTGTTCCACCTACAACCACTATTGCACCAGCTACGACAGAAAAATCTAGACCCACGGAGAAAGTTACAGAAAGGCCTGTAGTCACAGAGCAGCCTGCAACCACGAAGCAACCTGCTACTACAGAAGAACCTAGAGTCACAGAGAAAGTTACGGAGAAGCCTGTAGTAACAGAGCGGCCTGCAACCACAAATCAATCTGCTATTACAGAAGAACCTAGAGTCACAGAGAAAGTTACAGAGAAGCCTGTAGCCACAGAGCAGCCTGCAACAACAAAGCTACTTGCTACTACAGAAGAACATAGAGTCACAGAGAAAGTTACAGAGAAGCCTGTAGTCACAGAGCAACCTGCTACTACAGAAGAACCTAAAGTCACAGAGAAAGTTACGCAGAAGCCTGTAGCCACAGATCAGCCTGCAACCACAGAGCAACCTGCTACTACAGAAGAACCTAAAGTCACAGAGAAAGTTACGCAGAAGCCTGTAGCCACAGATCAGCCTGCAACCACAGAGCAACCTGCTACTACAGAAGAACCTAAAGTCACACAGAAAGTTACGGAGAAGCCTGTAGCCACAGAGCACCCTGCTACTACAGAAGAACCTAAAGTCACACAGAAAGTTACGGAGAAGCCTGTAGCCACAGAGCACCCTGCTACTACAGAAGAACCTAAAGTCACACAGAAAGTTACGGAGAAGCCTGTAGCCACAGAGCACCCTGCTACTACAGAAGAACCTAAAGTCACACAGAAAGTTACGGAGAAGCCTGTAGCCACAGAGCACCCTGCTACTACAGAAGAACCTAAAGTCACACAGAAAGTTACGGAGAAGCCTGTAGCCACAGAGCACCCTGCTACTACAGAAGAACCTAAAGTCACACAGAAAGTTACGGAGAAGCCTGTAGCCACAGAGCACCTTGCTACTACAGAAGAACCTGAAGTCACAGAGAAAGTTACGGAGAAGCCTGTAGCCACAGAGCAACCTGCTACTACAGTAGAACCTAAAGTCACAGAGAAAGTTACGGAGAAGCCTGTAGCCACAGAGCAACCTGCTACTACAGTAGAACCTAAAGTAACAGAGAAAGTTACGGAGAAGCCTGTAGCCACAGAGCAACCTGCTACTACAGAAGAACCTAAAGTCACAGAGAAAGTTACGGAGAAGCCTGTAGCCACAGAGCAACCTGCTACTACAGTAGAACCTAAAGTCACAGAGAAAGTTACGGAGAAGCCTGTAGCCACAGAGCAACCTGCTACTACAGTAGAACCTAAAGTAACAGAGAAAGTTACGGAGAAGCCTGTAGCCACAGAGCAACCTGCTACTACAGAAGAACCTAAAGTCACAGAGAAAGTTACGGAGAAGCCTGTAGCCACAGAGCAACCTGCTACTACAGAAGAACCTAAAGTCACAGAGAAAGTTACGGAGAAGCCTGTAGCCACAGAGCAACCTGCTACTACAGAAGAACCTAAAGTCACAGAGAAAGTTACGGAGAAGCCTGTAGCCACAGAGCAACCTGCTACTACAGTAGAACCTAAAGTCACAGAGAAAGTTACGGAGAAGCCTGTAGCCACAGAGCAACCTGCTACTACAGTAGAACCTAAAGTAACAGAGAAAGTTACGGAGAAGCCTGTAGCCACAGAGCAGCCTGCTACTACAGAAGAACCTAAAGTCACAGAGAAAGTTGCGGAGAAGCCTTTAGCCACGGAGCAGCCGGCTACTACAGAAGAAATTAGATCCACGGAGAAAGTTACGGAGAAGTCTGTAGTCACAGAGGAATCTGTAGCCACAGAGAAGTCTGTCGCCACTGAAGAATCTGCAGTTACTGAGCAATCCACGGTCCCACAGACATTAAACGTTTCTGAGGAACCAATCGCCATCGAAAACCTTGTAGCCGAAGAGAAACCTGCAGTCAAAGAGGAATCTGTAGTCGCTCAGAAATTTGTAGAACCAACGAGTTCCTCAAGCATAATCTGTCAGTCAGCATAATGGCAGAAAAAAAATCTGGTATCATAACTCCATTAAATGACGAAGCAATGATTCATTTGAATTATGTACTGTTATTTTCCCTCAAAATTTTGTAAAACAAAATTTCAACCAATTGATGCATTTGTATTCCATAACAAGCGGATAAGAAACGATGAAACATACGGTGAAAACTGGGTGAAGCAAATATACTTATTCCATCTTTGCATATGAAATGAGTATATTTGCATAATCATCTATTTATATTATGATAAGGAAGCCGAAGGAAGAACTGTCATTTACTAGACATCGTAAAAATATGCTGCATACTTCCATGTAATAAACGTGACATAACTATTCCTTATTATTGGAAATAAATATTTCTAGTAATTTTCATCAATTTCCAATCTCTAATAATTCAATTAGGCGACATTTTTCTTCTATCAATGAAGAAAACACGTATATTGTAATTATTAAAAATTGATAAAATCACCTGCGGCGGGTGGTGTTATCGTAGCTGGCAGTCCAGTAGAGGGGCGCCACTGTCCTAACTCAATTCTCTGCTCACAGCAGACACATAAATACCGCAATAAAACCCAAACACTTCTTCCTAACCCAATCCCTCTAGTTATCAACTGCCACGAATTCTAGAACACACACATTCTTATTCCCTCAAAACCGATAAAATCTACCCTTTCATCACTCCTCCTGACGTATACCTCAATGCAATCAGAGGGAGAAAGACAACCGGAAGTAGAAGATAAAGAAATTTCAAGGTCGGAAAATTTCGAAAAAATTGAAACCCAAAAATTAAAATATTCTTGTTCCATTCAAATCGTTAGCTCTCTCTTTGATTTTTTTATTCGAAAAAAAAAGAATTTTCACTTTAGAACTTCCGCCCTCATTCAATATTAAATGGAGCCACCTTCACATTTCCTCCCTTCCCCCACGAGAAAAAATTTAGTTTCGTGAAATGATTTTATCGGTTAGAAATTTACGAGTAATTTAGATTTTGATTAATTTTCGAAAATTGCGTTAAACCGAACGGAACTCTGGAATGCCTCTGGCCTGTGGACACACTCTTGGCGGTCGAGAGAGCTGCGAACCTCTCTCACACTCTCTCTCACTCGATCATAAAGTTTTGTCTCGCTCTAATGTACATCTCGAAGAGACTCACACAATTGCAGAGGTGAATGTGTACTCGCGTCTGCGCCCCGGTGATCACCTATTGACCGAATATTGCAGCCTCACATTGGGGTAGATGTCTATTACACGCATGTTTATGTAGATGTTTAGATATAGTGAGTTTTAGTTGATTATTCGTTCGTGAAATTTCTTTTTAACGTAAATTTTGCTTTTGTTTGAAATTAAAAAATCTAAAAATTACTAATAAAAATAAAAAATGGATATTAGTTTAAAGTGAACATTGAAAGCAGATTTTTTATTTGGTGGTTGACGTGGAAAAATTAATAATTTTGTTCTCTTTTAATTTTATTTATTTCAATCAATCTATCTTTTCATTTTTAATTTCTTAATTTCAAAACATCTCTGACAGTAGTAAATTTAGCAAAAAATGTCCGTAAAATTACACAAAGACATCATAAAAAATGTCTTCAGTGAAATTAAAGTTTTGAATGCATGGAAAAATATTGCTAGTGTTAAAAAAAAAAAAATCTCTCCTTTCGAGTGATTAATTGATTTGGGAGAGGTTTGCGTTGCAATTTGTAGTAAAATTCTGCGTTTTTTGACGATTTATTTAGGGGTTTAAAGAGTTAAATAAGATATAAACACTCACCTGGGCATGGAAACAAGGGGACATCCGAGCTGAAGTAAATTAACAGCGAGATGCTCAGGCGCAGGTGCCGTTAACGCAGGTGGTATGTATCTGGCTGGACGCAGGCCGGATGTCAGGGTTTCCTTGGTCCTGTCATTTTGTATTCCCTTCACGATATTCGCCGGCACTAACAAGTGATTTTTATCAATTCGAGCCTGACGGAGATTCAGCGAACCGCCTCGACGCAGTGGCCCACCTGGATCCTCTTTTTATCAAGGGCAACAGAGGGACAAAGTAGTTCAAGGTCATTTGATTGTATCACATTAGAGAGATGGAGGGGGGGAGAAAGGAAGATTTCCGGTTTCATCGAGTCGAACGGACATTTCGAATGCAAAAGTGCACGCAGAAAGATAATTCCGTTAGGATCGCGCAGCGCGCCTTAACCCAGCAAATTTCGTAGGTTATTATACTGACAGCCAAGGTGTGCGTTACCAGAGCAGATCACGGACGAAAAAATTTAATAAAAAAACCTATCGAATTCGTTGGAAAATTCTATTGAATTTCTATTGAACTGTTCTATTAGTTTTTGGCCGATTCTATTGAAATGTTCAATAGAAAATATTCAGTAGAAAAAGTTAATAGAGTTCAATTTTTCTATGCAGCTTATTCTATTGAGATATTTTCTATAGAATTTCCTCGGCTCAAATTTTCTAATTTTTTTCGTTTGATTTTCTTGATGAGAAGAAAAGAAAAATAGAATGAAAAAAACTTAGAAAATTTGAGTCGAGCAAATTCTATAGAAAATATATGAAAAGAATAAGTTATATAGAAAAATCGAATTCTGTTGACTTTTGCTATTGAATATGTCAATAGAATCAGCCAAAAACTAATAGAAAGTTTAATAGAAATTCAATAGAATTTTCCAACGAATTCGAAAGGTTTTTCTAATAAATTTTTTCGTGCGTGATGTCTTCGGCTCGGCTCTGTTTTGTTAGACTAGCAAGAGGGTTGCGCTACAGTAACTATCTTGCCCATTTGCTACTTTAACAATTGATTTGCTCATTTAAGGAACATGCTTCGTTAGATTAACAAATGAATTACTGTTAATTATCAGTAAAAATAGGAAAAAAATTGATCGTTAATTTTTTTTCATTTTCATGGTCAATTATCCCTGTAGGAGCAACTCAGAATGCATTCATCACCGAAAAAGGCAATTTCATTTACACAAATTATGTCCATTTGCCGAGACCGGGGATCGAACTCAGGACCTTACTATTACTAACCCTAACGCGCTAACCACACTATTAGAAAATTACTCTTGAAATTTCAAGTAAAAAATCTTGAAATTTTTAACAAGGAATAATTTACATGGAATTTCCGTTGATCTTGTTATTGATGAATCAGTCAATGTTCTTGAATATTCAATGAAATTTTATTTCTCAAGTTCATTTGACAATGGAAATTACTGGAAAACGGAAAAATCTCTGTTGCTTAATTTTCGAGATAGGTTTAAAAATCCAAATTGTCATTGAAAATTCAATAATCACTCATAACAAAAAACTTAATTCTATTGAATTTCCAAGATGTATCAGGAATTCTATAGGCAATGTAGTCTGAAATTGAATTCAAGTTCAGAATATTGAAAATTCAAATGCATCTGTTACTTAAATTTCAAAAAATTTCTACCAGTGCACTGGGCTATCGTGCAATACTTACGCGTCGTAAAGATCATATCAAGGATGTTCTTCCGTTTCGTGAAATCATTCTTTTGAGATTTAGAGAAAATCGTATTATTCCTTTACTTTTTTTTTATGGAAGAACATATTCAATATAATTACTATAATAATTCAATGGAAAAACATGACAATAGTTTTGACGAAACTTTTTAGTGATTATTTGACTTGAAATTATCATTCCACGTATATTTTAGATCTTTCCTGAAATAGTGCAAAAGCAAAGCACAATTGTTAACGGAACAAGGGATAGAAGGAACCCTGTAAATGAAAATGGGATGGTTATTGAAGGGTCAATAATAGGATCAAAAATAATTTGGTAATAAACTAACTCATTTTCGTTTCAACTTAAGAAGATAGGATACTGCATGAAGAAGATAGGATGCTGCATTCTTGAATTTAGGAGTAAATGTTTAGATTCAAACAACATATTTATTTGTAACAGCAAATCAAAGATTAACCAATCCAGGAATATTGCACCAAGGAAACGATTTTGGTGGTTTTAATGTAATTTCAACCTTTGAATGACGGTTAGTCCAACAAATGGTCAGTGGCTCAGGTACCAGTTACCAATTTTCAGTTATGATAGCAAATCAGATCCCGATGAACGAGTATTTGCAAGGCTAATTATTCTAATTAAATTATTAAATTATGAAATTGTTAAAATTTTTTTTTTCAGTTATTAAATTATTATTCATTGTTATTATTAAATTATTTTTCTGTGTGTGAATTGACAACTGGAGATACAATTAATAACAACAAAATCAATCTTTCGAGCTCTACTGCCGTCATTACTGAAATTTATTCTGACAATTCATTTGGTTAAAAGGGCTTCATGAAACCGGTCCTATAAGTTATTTGAATTGACAGATTCATTTGATTCAAATGAAGTTCATTCAATTCAGCAATTTTATAGTTCACTCATTTTGTTCTTCCATTCACTACCTTTATTGGACAATCAACCTCGACCTTCACAGTAACAAAGTCCCAAAGAACCATATTAATGAACAACTATGAAAATTACAAGAACAAAAAATTTCAAGTAAAAGAAAAAAATTTCTGGGTCAAAAAAATTATTGAAAAATTTTGCTCTCATTATTTTCACCTTGATTGTCACAATTTCGGATCGCCATAAAACCGTCTGCACTACTTATGTTGAAACCGATGTATCCCGAAACTTTTGTAAATAGGGCTAATCAGCACAAAATAACGTCCGTCTAGTCACTGACCGTGGTGAAAAGCTCATGGGCTTCAATCTCCCACGTTTTTGGCACGAGGTCACGCACTCTCAGTAGTTTTTTTTGTCATACTCCAGAGGAATCATCGGAGACGAACTCGTCTACGGATCGCAACATGATTCACGACTTTATTTGACACAATTCGTGGATTTCATCATTTTTTCTTCTGAATGGAAGCTTTGTAATCATTCAAATTCAAGTTTTGGATTTTTTGTGTTATATCGACCTAGTACGATTCAAAAAATCCGAAAATGCAATTTTTAGGCCTGGTCTAATTGATGGAGTGGATGAAATGAAGTGGATAGAATTGAATCTTTTTCTTTCAAATATACATATTGTTGACCTCTATCAATCGCCATTAATTAAAATTTAATTCATCGATTAGTTTTTTTAATTTTCGAATTTTTTGGAAAATTGTTTGTCCCACGATAACTAAAAAAATTTTTCTGAATTGATTGAACCATGGCTTAAATAGTATATTGTGCATCAAGGGTGGAAAGTCATGTTTTCGCGCCCGAGGTGCACATGCTATTTTTTAACACGCCTGCAAAGGAAAGTTCGTATTTTGCTCTTTGATGAGCGGGAGGAAAGTACGAACTTTCCGAGCAGGTGTGTGAAAAAAATTTGTTTGGATGTCCTTTTGACCGAGTTCGAAGATGAAGGCGACAGCAATAATGGTTTTTTTAAATCATTTGAAAAATTGCAAAAATTTTGTATTGTTTGAACATCAGAATCCCGGGGATATCTTCGAATATCCTAGCTTCAAATGTTTGTTTTAATGTAATTAAGTCGAAGTTAAAAAAATATTACGATAGCAATTTTGCTTGATTTGATTTTTATGATGATTATTGAAAATTCCTAACTTTTCATTAATTTCTGTGAAAACGAGCATTCTGACAGTTTCTTCAAATGTGATGCTTTAAATCTATAGTGAAGTGGTAAACTAGAATAAGTGCAATTTTTTTGAAAAATTTTTAATTGCTTGAATCGAAAATTCTCTCAAGCATGGTCAAATTTTTTAACTCTCCTGAAAAAGTTCCATTTTTTCACTTATCCTAGTTTACAACTTCGCTACAGAAATTCATTCAAGTACGTATAAATAAAAATTTTCTTTTAACATTTTATCGATGGGCTGAGGGAAGAGATAGTGATATATTCGTGATGTAACGCGGAACGATAGTGATAAATGAGAATTTATTTAAGTTCTGTGAAGCGCAAACATTCTGGGATTTAAGCAATTGAAAATAATTTTTCCGTCTCGGCGGGCGGAAAGTTACATTTCCCTCCCGCTTCGCGGGAGGGAACTCTGACTTTGCGCCTACGCCGAGACGGAAAATCGCGTTCTAACCACGGGAAGTAAAATAAAGGACCCTCAGCCGCGTGCTTACCAACCTCGCCTTCGGCTCGGCTGGTAATTGCACTGGCGGCTGAGGATCCTTTATTTTCCCTCCCTAGGTTAGAAATATACTAATTTCTCCCAAGTAAATATGGTCTAGATATTAATTTTTCTCCGTGCATGATTCCATCGATTATAACCACTTTGTTGGATCATGAAGTTGACTTATTTTCTATCAACTCTAGATAATATTTGTATGTTGAATTGCATTCCCTCAATCCAAACTCTCAATTTGGCATGAAATTTCGCTACTGAATTAAATGCTCACATCAATTCCCATGACAATGAATTCTTTCAGATTTAATTCAGGAAACGTCATAAAAATGTTGGCCCCAGACAACGGCGAGACACACCACGTGGTGGATATTAGCGCTTTGCCCGTTAACAATTTTTTGGCACAAATAACAGATCGTTCGAACCGATAATGCCAGACTAAAAATACGATGTGGAATCACTGAGGATTAATTTTTTTCAATTTTTATTTTAGTCAGTGACTTTGTTCAGTCGCAACGGAGAATTAAAAACTCAATTTATAAATCATTCACCAGTCATTTAAAAATATCACTTGAAGACATTGATTATAACGATTCCATGAGTCTGTAACAGTCAATTCCACTGTTTATCTAAATTGTGACATTTGAGTATTTTTCGGATTCAACTCAAAGGTGAAACTATGTCTTATTTTATCCGCTGTGCGACAACCGTCAACAGTTGAAAGCACTTCTGCAAGGGGCCTTATACCTGAAAACAACCCTAAGAACTCAAATTATTCAAATTCTTCTGGGCCATGTTTCGGTCAGCAGCAATAATGAATAATTTAAGAACACAGGGTCGAGAACAACTTTTCATTTAAACCCTAAGAAGTCATCAGAGTAAGACTGTGAAAACCAAAAAGAACAGTCTTTGGCCACCGACCAATCTGGACACATCAAACTATATTTATTTTTTCAAATCAATTGTCCCCTGCGAAATACTCAAGTGAATCTATTATATCTTCTATTCAAATCAAACTCAATCATTAATTTAATTAATGATTGAGTTTGATTTGTTACATAAATTATGATCAAATCAAAATAATATCTCATACCCGCATTTTTAATAAAATAGTATATTTCGATACGGGTGAGAGGGAATTTTCACGAGTGTGAAGTTGCCAAAACCACGAGCTGAAATTTCTCACATGTGTCGAAAAATATTTTTCATCACGCTGTGACGAAAAGTGAACTTTTCGGCACGCTCCGCGTGCCTAAAAGTCCAATTTCCGCCACATTGTGATGAAATAGTATATTTCGTAACGAGTGCAAAAAAGTGTTTTTTGGCGAGTGGGAGGTTTATATCACGAGCCGAAGGTGAGTGATATAATCCCACGAGCTAAAAAACATTTTTTCATCACGCTGTGACGCCCCGCGTGCCTAAAAGTCCAATTTCCGCCATATTGTGATGAAAAATATTGTTCGTAACTCGTGAAAAAATGTTTTTTGCACTCGTTACGAAATAGTTATTTTCATCACAAGGTCCACAAGGTATTTTCTGACGAATGTGGCTTTGTAGGCCGATAATCACATTCGTCAGAAAATACTTTTGGACCGTGTGATGAATGCAATTTTTCGTCTGCGAAATGCGAAATGCTCGCTTCGCTCGGTTTGATCGCGGTTTACCGGGTCTTCTCACGAAATATACTATTTTGTCACTGCTGTTACGTTTAGCCCGTGTCGAAAAGTGCCTTTTCGTTTACTAGTAAACGAAAAGTCTTTTCGTTTACAAGTTTCGACACAACTTGTAAACGAAAAGTCTTTTCGTTTACAAGTTTCGACTTTGCGTTTACTAGTAAACGAAAAATGACGTATGTTAATCTAGCAGGCAAAAGTAGCAGAATCGAATTTTCAATATTGGACAATTTGCAGCTTATTATGAGCTAATTTTATATGCCTTCAAAAATTTTTTTGCTAATACCGTTTTTGAAAAAAACGTGTCTCTGCTAGCTTTTTTGTAAGTTAGCAGAAAAATTATTTAAAAAATCAATAGAATTTGATTTTCGATATCAGATAATTTAAAGCTAATTAAGAGCTAATTTTCTACGTTTTCAAAAAATTTTCAGCTAACCCAATTTTTGAAAAAACGGCGTCGATTGTTAATGTTTTAACCATTTTTTCTGCTAACTTGCGGTAAGGTAGCATCAACGCCGTTTTTCCAAAAACTGGGTTAGCTGAATTTTTTCTGGAAACGTAGAAAATTAGCTCTTAATTAACTTTAAATTATCCGGTATCGAAAATTAAATTCTATTGATTTTTTAAATAATGTTTCTGTTAACTTACAAAAAAACGAGCATGAATACTTTTTTTTTAAATGGCATTAGCAGAAACTTTTTTAGATGCATATACAATTAGCTCATAATAAGCCGCAACGCTATTGCTTTCCGAACGGCATAAAGATGAAAAATTGTGGAATAATAACAAATTATCTGATAATGATTTTTCAATTATCCAATGTATGACGCTCAAACTAGCGGGAGACCGTAGCGGGAGATGTGGTGGGGGACTGTACGGCCCATACTACCGCTACTCACTGTAGGTTCCCATCTCGTTAAATTACAAAAATTAATACAAAGCAAAGCCGTGAAAAATTGAAAATATTGTCTATTTGTACCTGAGGGATGGGGCTTCCCCCATCCCTAACTAACCCCTGGTAGTCTTAGGGATGGTAACATAAATTACCATCCCTAAGACTAATGGGGGGGAGATATATCGGTGCATTCAGTAGGGAATTTTTAATTGATTTTTACAAATCCGAGTGAAAAAAAAGAATTATAATTAAACGCAAACACTTGGGGTCAAATTTTTTTTGGAAAATGCCCCGGGGGGGTTGGGGATTGATTCTCATTTGGAATTTTACCGGTGCCCTAATTAGGGAATTTTTAATTAATTTTTGAAAATCAATTTCACCAAGTCTTCGGGGGAAAAAAGGGTAATAATCCAACACAAACACTTGGGGTCAAATTTTTTTTTGGAAACCGCACCGGGGGGGTTGGGGGTTGATCCCGTAACGTTTTTGGTGTTTGAGTCATTCACTACAATAATCCTAAATGACTCAAACTGAGTGAATAGTGCCTGCCACTATTCACTATGGAATTATCTTCCTTTCCGAGGGCCGTTACTCCCTGTAGTCCGACTAAACTCCGCGTGGGTTATACTCTTGTCAGGAATAATTGAGGATATTGGGAAGGTTCACTAAATAAACACTCCGGGTTAATCGGTAAAAGCTACTTCTATATTCTAGAACGATTAACTATGGTGATACACTATTCCAAAGCGGTTTCGGGCCGGTATACGCGATTCTAAATGATCGGTTCATTGTTGGTGGGCTTGGAGATGCGCTCCATTCTACTCCCGATCATACTCTGGACTCTAGGGAGTCCAGAAAGACGCTCAAGACCCAAAAATAATGAGCTAAGCAGTCCCACGGTTCCAGAGCACTACTACAGACAAGTGTCATCCTTGACACTGTCTAAACACAGTCAAACAGCTCTCTTCAGAGAAGCTGAACTCCGATGTCACCGTGAGAGTGCTGAGCTCTGGTCCCAAACGATGGGAAAGAAATTTCATTTCTATTCTCATCGTTTGGAATATGAATTCAATATCACGTATTATCCATAATACGTCGTTGAATTAAACAAATAATTGACGTATTGATGTCAATACGTCACACTCCCCTAATTAAACTATTGTTACCCTAAACAATCACTAGGTCATAATAGTAATAAAACCAAGAAGACTTCACATAAGTCTATACCTTATGGGCCTCATCTTATGCCGGAAGGGCTAACAACATGCTGCCATATGGGCAAATGAACCCGTGCTCCAGAAACACAAAAAAAAAAGACTAAAATCAATCATTTATTCCAACTGTTTGCTATAAGAGCAATCATCCTAACTAAATTTCCAAAAGAGAGCAAGTATTGTCTGTCTATTTTGATTTTTTTTCTATTGAGAATTTCCCTAAAAATCCTAACGACCGAGCCCTTACAATTTTGTTTCTTAACCTCTAATATATGGAGTAGGAAAAGTCCCGGATCCTAGGGTAAGCTACCCAGTAGATGAACACTGCCCTATAGATGGACGAGCTACTTTTGGATAGGAAATTACCCAAAAAAAAATACTGAAATGTGAATTGTTGCTTTGAATTTTCACTAACTGTTGTGATTCTTAACCCCTAAGTGACGATTTTTTTTCGATCAATTTCTTTTTCAATTGCTAAAAAACAAACATCCATCTACTGGGCAGTTTTCTTAGGCGTCCATCTACTGGGCAGTTTACCCTACATCATATTGAATCATGCAAATCAATTTAGTTTTCTTGTTTTAGGAATTTTGTTCCCTAGTTGTGAAATAATAATACCAAAAATTTGAAAAAGGAAAAGTACTTGTCTCCATTGACTCCATTTTTGATTCACTCCATTTCATCTGTATAATTCACCAAGAAAATTTTTTACAAAGATCTACTTGAAAATGAGATTTTTTTTTCTATTGAAACCTTGCTTAGGACTTTGAGATATGCAAACGCAATTGACGGTTATGAATGGAGAAACATTCTATCGTTCTCAACGCAGAAGACAGTATAATTTCAGTTATCAATTTTTTTTCTACTTATCATCTTGATATAGTATTCCTCCCCCACTAGACCAAAAATTACTCTCCCGAGTGATTGGTAGCGGGAAGCAACTGCACGCCGTTGGATCTAGCGTCTCATTCCCTTGGTCGACCCTGGTTAGAGTCACCTAAGAAACGGTCACCAGCTGTTGGCTGCTTATCAGTCCGCTGATGGCAATGATTCCCCTGGATCGAGTATCCGGGCGTTATCTCCTGGTTACCTCGATGCACTAGTCCTCTGCATAATTCGGCGTCATCACTCCATAAGGATGCTATACTCTCGTTCGCTTTGGAGGGGGAACCATGTGGGAGACGCGGTTTCGCTGTTAATTCCACGACACTCTGGTCAGCTGTTGGTGACGATCCCCCTGGATCAAATGACCAAGGATTTTGAGGCATTGCACTTTTCAAGAGATAAAATTTAAATGGCTCTCCAAGTTCATTTTGAAATGGGATATTTTCATTAGCGAAACCCACTTCTACTAGATTGATTTCTCTATTTTCAGTTGTGTCTTTGTTTCTGAGTTTCAATTCACACACCACTGATTTTGCACTGTTGAGTACAGACTTTTCCTTCTCAGTTTTAACGTTTTGATTCATAACTGCTGGATATTTAATGATTTTTCTTTTGCACTCGAACATTTCTCCACAGTCTCGAGCTGTTAATTCCTCGGTTGTGGTGTCGATTACTTGAGAGTTGGCTGATGATGATGGGTTTTCTAGATCAGGTTGCCAGCGTTTCCTCGTTCGTTGACCTCGATTGACATTTTCTACCAGCTGTATGTCAACATCATTCAATGAAGTTATCCCTCCTCCACGTACTTCAAGCTCGATAATTGGTCCAATTACCGGCGTTGAAACTTCTTGGCTCAACCCTGATATTTCTACAAGGCTTCGTTGTTGGATGGCCTTGGGAGCTCGAAGGTCTCTTCCCCGTTTTATAGTCAAGCTTTCGGGTATGTCGGGAGGCTCTGCTGGTCTCTTTCGTGACGAGCCTTCCGGAGTCCAGGATTTTGAGTGGTTTTGGATGCTGGAACTCACTTTTCTCGCCGAATATTTTGCCATCATCTCCTATAACTCTGCAACTGCATCATTTTTAAGTTTTTCCGAGGCAAGCCTCTCCCTTTCTCCACGTTTCACTGCGTGTTTTTTCCAGTATGGCTCAGACATTTTCTCTTGATGATTACTGATACCAGTACACTGTGATAATCCAATGGGAGGGTTGACTTTGCCTCTTGGTCCGGTTGGATCACCGGGGTCCCAAATTCCACTGTTTGTTGCAATTGACCCTGCATATGGTGGATATCTTGGAGCTCTCGTTATACCCCATGATGTGTCAGCCATGCGGTACTCTTCTGAGATACTCAACCTATACGACAGCATGCTCCAACCTGCTGGGAGCCGTTGTTCATCTTCCATGAAAGTTGAGGAGAAATACGATGGTATCCACGTCCTGTAGCTGATGAAAGCATGTGGTTCCATGGCAATAGTTATGAAGAATGAATTTTTTAAGTGATCCAAAATGCTTGGATCCCTGCGGTAGCGTCCTCTCGTCGATGAAAGATCTCTGTCGTTTCTCGGGTTCAGCAGCTGCCCATCAGCTGCAGATTAGATCTCGCTGTACCTCGCTGATCTAGCACCCTGTGTTTCTGTAGGCCTCTCCCGAATGACGACCCTCAACGTACCAAGAAAGTCACCTCCCGACTTCTGATTCCCAAAATTCACCAATTTCACGTTATTTCACGGCAACTTAGTTTCACCAGTCTTCAGATTTCGGACTCTTTTCCGCACTATAGCGAACCAATTTTATTTTCGTTAAAAACCTTCCCAAAACATGTGAATTTCACTTAATCCTCAATACACTTACTTCCCAAACTGAGTGTCCAACTAGTTGGGCGCCAATATAACATTTTTGGTGTTTGAGTCATTCACTGCAATAATCCTAAATGACTCAAACTGAGTGAATAGTGCCTGCCACTATTCACTATGGAATTATCTTCCTTTCCGAGGGCCGTTACTCCCTGTAGTCCGACTAAACTCCGCGTGGGTTACACTCGTGTCAGGAATAATTGAGGATATTGGGAAGGTTCACTAAATAAACACTCCGGGTTAATCGGTAAAAGCTACTTCTATATTCTAGAACGATTAAGTATGGTGATACACTATTCCAAAGCGGTTTCGGGCCGGTATACGCGATTCTAAATGATCGGTTCGTTGTTGGTGGGCTTGGAGATGCGCCCCATTCTACTCCCGATCATACTCTGGACTCTAGGGAGTCCAGAAAGACGCTCAAGACCCGAAAATGATGAGCTAAGCAGTCCCACGGTTCCAGGGCACTACTACAGACAAGTGTCATCATTGACACTGTCTAAACACAGTCAAACAGCTCTCTTCCGAGAAGCTGGACTCCGATGTCACCGTGAAAGTGCTGAGCTCTGCTCCCAAACCATGGGAAAGAAATCTCATTTCTATTCTCATCGTTTGGAATATGAATTCAATATCACGTATTATCCATAATACGTCATTGAATTTAACAAATAATCGACGTATTGATGTCAATACGTCACAATCCCCATTTGGAATTTTACTTGTGCCCTAATTAGGGAATTTTTCATTAATTTTTGAAAATCAATTCCACCAAGTCTTCGAGTTAAATAAAGGGTAATTATCCAACGCAAACACTTGGGGTCAAAAATTTTTTTGGAAAATGCAGCGGGGGAGTTGGGGGTTGATCACCATTAAGAATTTTACCGGTGCCCTAATTACCCGACGCAAACACTTGGGGTCAAAATTTTCTGTGGAAAATGCACCGGTGGGATTGGGGGTTATTCTCGATTGAGAATTTTCCCGGTGCCCTAATCAGGGGATTTTTAATCATTTTTTTTGTGAATTCCGAATTGTGTGGACGGCCGAAGGATTTTCATGAGCCCCCCCGGTGCATTTTCCAAAAAAAATTTTGATCCCAAGTGTTTGCGTTGGATAATTACCCTTCATTGCTCCTTTAAGGTTTAATGAAATTGATGTTTAAAAATTAATTAAAAATCGCCTAATTAGGGCACCGGGAAAAATTTTCCAACAAAAAATTTGACCCCAAGTGTTTCCGTTTGATGATAATTCTTTTTTTTTCACTCGGATTTATAAAAATCAATTAAAAATCACCTACTGAGTGCACTGATATATCTTCCCCCCCCATTAGTCTTCCCCTATCCCTCAGGTACAAATAGACAATATTTTTAATTTTTTACGGCTTTGCTTTATATTAATTTTTGTAATTTAACGAGATGGGAGCGTACGGTGAGTGGCGGTAGTGGGGGTCGTACAGTCCCTCACCACATTTCCCGCTACGGTTTCCCGCTTGTTTCAGCGTCATGTCCAATGTCAAAATAGTATATTTCAGTACATGTGGGGCAATTTCGTCTTTAACGTGTGTGGGGTTTACAGCATGAGCCGAAGGCGAGTGATGTAACCACACACGTTAAGGACAAAATTTCCCAACAAGTACTGAACAAAATTTTATGTCACGAAGCCTGAAACCGGCTAAATTAGACACGAGACGCGAAGCGTCGAGTGTGTAATCCAGCCGGTTTCAGGCATGAGTGGCATAAATGATTTTTTTATCGCTTTTACAAATTTGATCATTCCTACATTTTGGTCAAAAGTATATAAATGCGTCATTTTGTGGAAAAAACATTGAAATTAAAAAAAAAAAAAATTTGAGAAAAAAACATATTCTTCAACAATTTTCAAAACGTGAAAAATTGTTGCTGATAAGCTGTAAATTATCCCACGTTGAAAACAAAATTTTGTTTATTTTTTAACCATTTTTTCTGCTAACCTGCGGTAAGCTAGCATCGACGCTGTTTTTCCAAAAACTGGGTTAGCTGAAAATTTTTAGAAAACGTTGAAAATTAGCTCTTAATTAGCCTCAAATTATCCGATGTCGAAAATTAGGCACGCGAAGCGTGCCTAAAAAGTTACGTTTTCGCACAGCATGATGAAAATATTGTTATCATTCAAATGAATAAATTTCAAAAATATATTTCATAGCAAAGTCTTCAAGATAATGGAAAAAAACTTCCGAAACAGAATCATTTGTAAAAATATCGTATGAAAGTCTCTATTAAACAACAAAACCATTACGAATTACTGTCTTGAAATTTAATTTAATGAAACAAAACAAGATAAAATAAAAGTCGTAAATAACCTGAGTGAGCTTAATTGTGTGCTCAAGAGAACCGCCCTGTCGATACAGATTTCTTGAATAGAAGCACCGGAAGCGTGAGAAATACTAATCAACACAGCAAAAGTTTCATTTTTAGAGACGACTTTAAAAAAAAAACGTTTTGCGTTCTTCATTGTGTTTGGGTTTCCGTCAAATTCAAGAAATAAAAAAGATAAAATAATTCCCGGAAGCTTGTTCTCACATATATCACTGCTAGGAATCCGGAAATTTTCCGCAGACCATAAAAAGGCCCATCAGAGAAAGGCAATGAAATAATTCGCCACATCCATGAATAATTCAAAGGATTCATTCCTGAATAAATCCTCAAACAATTCTGCACCATTTTTCCTAGCGAAATGTCGAAGCATTGGCCTCCGCTTTTTTGCGGGTACTGTTATACAGTTTCCGCACTGCAGCACTGGCAATGTACCAGAGCAAAGAGCAGGTAGGAATGAAGTCTAATAAACTTGTCTTAGTGACCCAGAAACGTGTTGCAAAAACTGTAACAATTTTTCTGATAGACATAATATGGGCGAAAATATGGTAACGGATTTCGTAACTCAATCTTCAAAATACTTCGAGACATTTTTTGCAGTGACGGAGTGAATGTTTCATTTTATAAAATCCAACTGAAAACTTTATTTTGGACACTTCAAGGATTTTCAACGAAAGAATGAGGAACAACGTCTTGAAAATAATTCAACAACTATGAAAATGAAAAAAAAAACGAGAAAGCAACAGTCTTTTAAATTGAGATAAAATTTTTAGCCTGAAATAACTTCTAAAAGTCGTTTCACCTCCTCTCTCTTGTGACTGAAAAAGGCTTTTTTGACTGCGGAAAGCCCTGTTTGTATTTTGAAAAAAGCGTTTTTCACCACATTGTCGGTAAAACGTCGTTTTACGGACGCTTCGAGTCCGTCAAACGCCGTTTACGGATATTGTGAAGAAAATTTATATTCGTAACTCGGCCAAAAACAACTTTTCGGCCTTGTGACGAAAATAGCTATTTCGTCATATCTGAAGTTCGATTTTCCGCCCCAAATGAGCGGAAGAAAATGTTTTTTTCACACACCTGCACGGAAAGTTCGTACTTTGCTCCCTAATGAGCGAGAGGAAAGTGAGTACGTCCCGCTCTACGATGGAAAGTTTCTCGAGCGGAAAGTACTGATTACTTTCCGCCCAAGGGCAAAAGTACTTTCCTCTCTTGGGAACAACTTTCCATCCTTGTGCGGAAAGTATTCACTTTCCTCCCGCTCATCAGAAAAGGTTCTGATCAGAATCTCACCAAATCCTGATCCGAAAGTCTAATCAAGAAACTCTGACCGGTATCGAATTTAAAACTGATTTAGACCCAGCCGAACAGTGAAATTTTCACTCAGGCTATCAGTTGAATCTTCAGAAGTAATTTTCTAGCAGTACGGAGAAGAAATTAATTAATCCATTCAAATTTGTTTCAATTTTTTGTGAAGGATGAGAATTAAAAACTCACCATTTGCATCAGCTGCGGTCAATCTCAAACTATGTCCCCTCCGCAGCCCCTCACTCCCACCACCATTTTCGCCAGCGGGTGGTATTTCTCCGGAGCTTCCGACATCGAGATTCGGCGCGGACTCACTCAACTCCCATTTCTCCAATTTCCTCGATCGTTCCGGTGCTCTCGATCCCTCCATCGGCATTGCTGCTAACGTGCATCAACAATGCCGATCCACACACCACTAATCCTCAATCAACTCAATTCGATTCAAGGCACTTCACGTGCTTTATTGCCTTTGTTTACGCCAAATCTTTCCGCGTGGCGATATTTATCACCACGAGTCCAGCGTAACTGTAGCGTTTCATAACACGA